GGTTTAGAAAGAGTGTCCCCAGGGGGTTCCAGCATAGACAAGCCCTTGGAGAACAGGGTTTTACCTAAATAGTTTGGGGAGGGAAGGAACTGGCACGATGACAGGGCTAAAAATCACGTGTCTTTGGAGAATTGCCTCCACGTGAGGAAGCTCTGTGCTCAGAGCTGCTTTTAAGATCAGTGACAGGATGTCCTGGCGTCACCCTTCATCCATGTAGACTTCAGGTGATGGGAATGACACCCTCCATGCCTAAAGCCCACCATGGATCTGTGGGGGAGCCTCCTGTGCAGAAGAAACGGCGATGCTGGAGGTGGGGAGATGAGTTAATCCCAATTCTTAATGCAGGTGTCACTTTGTCACCTTCACTCAGCTGCCTTCAGGTTTCTCCAGCGTGCAGGGATCAGGCTGGAAGGTCCACCTGGGCTCCTGACCACCCATGGGACAGCAGCATGGGGGTGCTCGACCATGGAAGATGTTTTGGAGCTGGAAGCAGTGCTCAGCATCTTCCAGCTGGGCTGGCAAATAGCTTGTCCACGTGCCACAGCAAAGTGGTCTGCTCTAGTGGTTTGGGCCAAAAAAAGTCAGACTGGGTCATCTGGGGAAAATGTAATGCTAGAAGGATTGATGGCTGCCAGGCTGGGATGGGCTTGGGGTTGTGAGACCAAGTGGGGACGCTTGGCTGGCACTGGTCCAAGAGTGACAGTTCCGGGGAAGGATTTACGCTGCCCAGCAATGTGTGGGGACAAGGGAGCAGCTGGGATGCAACGTGTGGCAGGGAGCTGGGGGTCTGAGCATGTGGGGTGGACCTGGTGATGTCCCCATCAGATCCAGCACCTTTTTGGGAACAACTTACCACATTCTCCACAATCAGCAAACGAACGATGAGCTCAGTAGTGACACCTCCTCCCCAGGGCTGAAGACAATCGTCGGGGCTCTGATCCAGTCAGTGAAGAAGCTCTCAGATGTCATGATCCTCACCGTCTTCTGCCTGAGTGTGTTCGCCCTCATTGGTCTCCAGCTCTTCATGGGGAACCTCCGGCAGAAGTGTGTGCGGTGGCCGCCCTTCAACGGCACCTTCCTGGAGGACTTGGAGCTGGACGACGACATGTTGGCCAACGCAACGTTCTATGGCAACTTCACTGATGGCATCCTCAACGACTTCAGCTTCACTGATGGCTTCCTCAGCAACTTCACCGATGGCTTCGCCAGCAACTTCACCGGCAACTTCACCGATGGCTTCGCCAGCAACTTCACCAGCAACTTCACCAGCAACAACACCTTTGATTTCGAGGCCTACATCAATGATGAAGGTAAATGCTCCTGCAACTCCTCCATTGACCCATGGCCCTGTTTTGCTCCTCAGTTTCCTCTTCTTCCGTGTCAGACCAAGATGGTTTGCTGGCATGGGTCTTCCTGCCCAGGTGCTTGGCAGGGAGATGTGGCTGGTGGGTGGAACGGGGATTGTGCATCATCATTGGATAGACAGATGGGATCAAATCCTCCCTGCCAGGGAATACAGTCCAACCAGGCAAGACACAGTCCTCCAGAAAGGTTTCACCATGGGAAGGCCAAGACAAACCCGTGTCTCCATCTCTCCTACTTGCTACTGAGGGCCCAATCTCCCCATCGTGGTGGGCACTGGTGAACAGCTGCTTCATCTGGCTGGTCACAGCAGTGAGACCAAACCCTCCAGTAGCAGGTGGGACTTTGGGTGGAAAACCAGAAGGAGGGATGCAAGAATTAAATTTCTCATCCACTTGCACTGCTGCATCATAGCTGGGTCCTCCCCCAAGTACTGCTGTGTCCAGCGAGCATTGGAGGCAAGGGTTCAACACCACAACTGTTGAGGAAGGAGGGAGACGTGGGGTCAAGCAGACGTCCCACCTCTGATCAAGATCAAGTAGAGACAAATCTCCAAATTTGCTTCTTTCCTATCAACTCCTTGAAACAAATTTCGCCCAAAAAAAAAAAAGTGTGTTGGGTTTTTTTTGTCCAGTTCTTCAGTTTGGGTTTTTTGAACTCCAGGAAAATGCCAAAATCTCAGAAGCTCTGCCTGGCAGAGCTGCAGGGTGGAGCATGTTCCATGGGGCTGTTTCATGCCTCGTTTTGGGCACTCAGCAGAAGGTCAGGTTAGGTCTCAGCTGATCTGCTCTGCCCAACTGTACAGTAGCTCTCTGGCATTAATTACAGGAAGGCTTCTTGGTAGGGCTGCAAACTCAATATACAGGATCTAACGAGTGCAGTGCAAATAGCAGCAGCACCCTGGGACCACGTGGTCGGGTCAACAGCTCTTGGGGCTGGGCCAAAAACATCTCCTGGAGTTTCGCAAGCCGGACATCTCACAGGTTAAATAAAAGCTTGGTGGCAAGAAGCCAGGTGGAACCGGGGATGCTTTGAGGAAGCTCCAGAAATCCCTGAATGGCTCCTGGAAGGGCTGTGATGACCAGGATGGGGTCCTGCTGCACTCTGCCATGCCCTGGGGTGGGTGTCTCCAGGAGCTCATCTGCCTGTCCCTGCAGGTGGAGGACCTGTGGTGGCACTGCTTGGCAGCTCCGTGGCTCAGGGTCTGTGCCCAAGCTGTAAGAAGGAGCTTTAAGGACCTTGGGTCTGTGAGCAGGGAGTGTTTCCCCACCAGGTAGGGGCTGGTTGGAATGGGAACAGCAGGAGGAAGGTGGTGACCATGAAGTAGCAGATAGTTTCCTCAGGCTTTTTTGGGCTCCCCATGCTCAGTGCTCACAGAATTATTTTGGTTGGAAAAGAGCTCCAAGATCATCAGGCTCCCTAGGAGTGCTCTGCTATTTTGTGTTTTCCCAGCTAAACAGACTAGCCCTGATCCTTTGACCACACGTTAACCACCTTCCCAGGAGGCCCAGCTCTGGCCAGCCTGGGAGCTCTTTGTGGGCTTAGGAGCCATTTGGTTGGGACAGTGAAACAATGCAGTGGGTGTCAGTCTCTTTTTCCAAGGAGCAAGTGAGAGGACAAGAGGAAATGGCCTCAAGTTGCCCCAGGGGAGGTTGAGGTTGTCCCTGAGGAACAATTTCTTGCCCTGGAGGGTTGCCCAGGGCTGTGCCAGGCTGCCCAGGGCAGTGGTGGAGTCCCCACCCCTGGAGGGGTTTCCAAGCCGTGGAGATGTGGGGTGAGGGACACGGGGCAGTGGGGACCTGGCAGTGCTGGGGGATGGTTGGCCTCAACGATCTTCCAGGTCTTTTCCAACCACAATTATTCTGATTCTGTGATTCAACCTCATGAACTCTCTGAGGTAGAGTCGGCTAGTTCGATGCAAGCAGCAGCCAGCAGGGAGGAGGAAACCCAGTGCCCAGGGCTGAGATTTGGAGAATTTCCCTGAGTGAGGAGCTGCCAAGAATTTGCAAATCTATGTTTGTGTTTATTTTTTATGTCTTGCTCTTTCCCCAACTGCGAAGCCAATTTCTACTTTCTGGAGGGAGCTCTTGATGCCCTGCTCTGTGGGAACAGCAGCGATGCCGGGTGAGTGCAGCTCACACGGGTGGCTGAGGTCCCCTCTGGCTCCCCAGGAGGGGATGAGGAAGCCAGAGCAGCCTGTGGGACCACTGGCATGGGACAGGGTTGAGGCTGGGAGCGTGGATGGCCTGGGAATCCCACCTGTGCCAGCTCTGGGGGAGGTGGTGTCAGTCAGGGCATCCCGGCTGGGTGGGGAGGACCTGCTGAAGCATCTCAGCACCTCCAGGGATGGGGCGTTTCGTGGTGGGTGCGGGAGGGGCAGTGCCTGGGTTCACACCAGCTGCCCCTGCGGCTCCGTTGGTAGGAAGTGCCCCGAAGGGTACCAGTGCATGAAGGCAGGGAGGAACCCCAACTACGGCTACACCAGCTACGACACCTTCAGCTGGGCTTTCCTGGCCCTCTTCCGCCTCATGACGCAGGACTTCTGGGAGAACCTCTTCCAGCTGGTAGGCACCACGTTTTTTATCCTTGTGCAAACGTTCCTCTCGTTTTGATGCTGCCCCTGGTCTAGGAGGTAAAAAGTTACTTGACTAGAAGCTTGTGGGACCTTGTCCTGCAGAGATGGGACATGGTCCCATCTGGTTCCCCAGCCTGAGCAGTGCAGTGTATTTTCCAGGGCAAAGCTCCAGGTGTTGTAAACACACCCCATAAAACCCCACCCTGGATCCAGAGATTGTTGAGATAAAAGCAAGCCTATGTCTAAAGGCTCCACGTGTCCTCTGGAAATGGTTACACCCAGATCTAGAGTTAGGAAAGGACCAATCTTAGCCCAAAGGTGAGACCTGAGAAGCTGGGGGCTGAGAGATATCAGCCCCTGCCACAGCAAAGCGTGTCTCTGAAATATTGGTCCCATCTCCACACACACTTGCAGCTCTTGAGCTACCAGACAGCACAGAGCAGCAAAGGTGGGTTTGCTGAGACTTCTGGTGGTTTCACACAAGTCCTAACCCAGTGCCATGGCCTGCAAGAAGGTCAGCTGAGCAATGACCAGCTCTTGGGGAAGATGGGAGCAAAGCACACTGTGACTGCCACAAATGGGAGGGTGCCCTGGTGCAAGACCTCTCATGGGAAGCACCACCAAACCAACCCCACGCTGAGGTGGTGAGACTGCCCGTGTCACATCTTTCCACAGACTCTGCGTGCGGCAGGGAAGACGTACATGATCTTCTTCGTGGTGGTTATATTTCTTGGCTCCTTCTACCTCATCAACCTCATCCTCGCGGTGGTGGCCATGGCTTACGCGGAACAAAACGATGCCACGATGCTGGAGGAGCAGCAGAAGGAGGAGGAATTTCAGCAGCTCATGGAGCAGCTGAAGAAGCAGCAAGAGGAGCAAGAGAAAATGGTTGGTGGAAAGTGTGGGGGCCAAAATGAGGGACCTCAGGAAAAGGGGGAGAAAAAGGGAGTCAGTGATGAACATGATGGGGCTTATTCTTGGACTATACATAAATAGAGGCACCATTTGGTCCATAATAAGTAAAGATAACAGAATAATAATTTGGAGGGTCACAGCTGAATCAACATGTGTAGATATTTTCCTGAGTGGAGGGGGAAAAAAAAGACTGAAAAGATTAAATTGCCAAATCTCCCACATGGGGAGCACTGGGAGGCAGCAGAGAGGTGTGGTAGGGGCTGAAAGAAGGAGGTGAGAAACAAGGCACAGAAGGCACCAGAACTATCAAATTCTCTTCCTGCAGCCCACCAAGAGCAGGAAACCTGGCAGGGAGCCAGGGTGCAAAAACACCCAAGGGAGATAGGGCAGAGCAGCAAAGCTGAAGGCATCAGCGAACCATTTGCTTTTGGAAATGGAAGAGAAGGCTCAAGAGACCCCAGGTCTCACCCGGGGAGGTGCCGGGGTCCTTGCAGGAGCTGAGGCACAGCTCTCAGGGTCTGGCCTTGCTGCTGTCCCCCAGCACATGAGCAGATATGCAGAGAGTTTGCAGCCAAAGGAGCTGGCCTCAAGACGGGTGGCTGCTGAAGCTGCCTGATTTCCACCCATCTCAGAGACCCATGGAATATCCTCAGTTTGCAGATGAGACCAGCTGACATGGTGCAGCTGACGTGCCTGAAGGATGGGGGACCTGGGCAGGCTGGAGAAGTCCATGTGAACCTCTCTGATCCTGCAGCCCAGCCATTTTCCATCTCTAATCACCATTTTGGTCCATCAGGCTTGTCTGCAGGGGACATCCCTGCCAATCTGCTAGTCTCAGCAGAAGACCAGTTTCCCTTGCACATAGAACGTGACATAAACCAGCGTTTTCCTCTCTAGAGCCTCTGCCTCTCACTGCTTATCTGTGCTGAGCAAAGGCATCCTCTGAGGAACACTGGAGAAAATAAGTTAAATTGATCCAAACATTCACCAATTCAGAGCAAATCCGAAAATCTTGGACACCACATTTCAGCAAGACCTCTCAAGATTTTTTTTCTTTCCCAGTTGGGATGAAAGCATATCACAGACTCATATCATAGACTGGCTGAGGTTGGGAGGGACCCCAGAGATCATCCCATCCAACCCCCAGCCGTGGGCAGGGACACCTCTCAACCAGAGCAGGCTGCTCAAGGCCCCATCCAGCCTGGCCTTGAACACCTCCCGGGAGGGGCATCCACAGCCTC